AATGCTCTCTCGGTGTCCAGACTCTGACCAGGAACTTCAAGCATGCCCCTGCTTTAGTGCCTCAAGCTGCATTTTTTTCTTTTTCCTTCAGTTTATAAAGGGTGACTCCATTTGGCGGGAATCCTTGTCCTATGATAACCCTTCCTACTCAGGCACTGGACCTCTAAGAAGAAACCAAACCAGTGTTGACTTATTTTGTACAGGAGAACGAAAAACAGCGAAGTTAGCAATTACAACCATGAGTAGCTTAGAACACAGGATGTGATGGTGGACACTTTAGGAAGGTCAAAGGTGAAGCACGTCAGAGGCCCTACTGTGGGGGGGGGCGTGCTGAGTGGGGGGCAATAACAGAATTGTAAGTCTGGTGCCCAGTGGTGCAGAGGGGAGCTAGCAGGAAAACTGACTTGGGAGGCTCACTGGCGCCTGGAACCATTCCCAAAACTGCAGGGTCCTTGAAAGACCAGTAGGCAGAAGAATGGCTAAGCCCATTAGCTTTGTAGCAGGACAATTTCTGAATGCAGGGCGGATGACCGGTGAGAGGAAGTCTGGGATGAGCCTAGACCTTCCTGCAGCCAAGGCCCAGTCCTCCCCCAGTTCCTGCTTCTCCACAGCCCTAATCACAAGTGACTGTGCTGACAATCCTAAAACCCATGGTGAGGAGCAGATTTCACTGAGTTTTTACAAACACCACGGCTACCACCACGGCTACCACCACCCCTGTGCCAAGTCTCCTTGCCTTCTGAACCTACACACTTTAGCACCAATCCGAGGACGGCCCTTGTCAGCCACCACGTTTCACGTAGCCTTGATCTAAGTGACACTGATGGCTCTGGCATTCCCGCTCTGGAAGCCTGGCAAACTGGGTGTCAGACACTGTGCTAGATCCTGTGACTTCTGGGAACAGAACAGTCCTAGACTTCGCGGAGCTGACAGCCCAGAGGCGGCAGCTCAGGTCTATTTGAGTGAACTGCCAACCTGGGTGTGGAGAGCACCATGGGAGCCTCTCCAAGGGAGCCCTGGGTTATCTCCAAGTGAAGCACGCTCAGCTCCCAAAGCTTTAAAAAAGAAACAAAACAAAACAAACAACAACCACAACAACAAAAGCAAAAAACTAAAGCCACTCGACTCAACCCGGGTTTGGCCACAGGATCTGCGCGGCAGGTGGTAGCGGGCAGCTTAGTGAGCAGTGGCTGGAGCTCTATACCTCGAAGCCGGGATCGCCGGCCCCGCAGCGACGCCTCAGGCTACCGGCAGTACTGCAGCTCCCGCGCCCGATCTACCAGTCGCGCATGCCCAGTGTGACTGTCACTGCACGCTCCAGCAGTTCCAGCAACTGCAGGAGTTACGCCTTTGGGCGCACCAAAAGAGACTGGATCGCCACGGCCCAGCGAGAGAGGGCTGCAGGAAAGTGGTCCACAGACCCGGCGCCTGGACATCCCTAAGGAAAGGTTGTTCCTAGGAACAGCATCTCAGAGACCCGAGGTAATCTGCCCAGGGTCACACAGCTGGGAACAGATTCTACAGCTTCTATTGCCCGCGTCTTGCAACGTGGTCTTCAGAAAAGCCGCATCATTGAGCACTGGGTTTGAAAAGAACTGGGGCAGGCTGTTCCTGTACGTCTTTCAGTTTATGCTGTCTTAAAGCGCCCGAGATTTGAGTGAGCATGGGAACGTTGGTGTGAACACTCCGGCCTCTGTGCAAGAGACCATCTCTTTTCCAAGGGGCACTCACCGTGAGGTTAGTCATATAGTATTCGGGAGTGCTAGCTGCCACTAGAGAAAATATAACCGACTGGGGTGGTGTGTAGTAAAGAACAGAGTTATGGTCAGGCTGACAGGACGCAAAGGCTCATGGATTCCCTCTTTTGGTCCACCAGTTCTAGGCAGAGTTTGAAGGCGCAGCTTTCAAGTGCCCGCAAGCGCCAACTCCCTGCTGCTCTTCCTTTCTTCCCCAGGCATCCCCAGCTCCTGCCCTCCCCCAGCCCCCACCCTGTTCAGGTCTTTGTGCGTGCTCCCCCTGCTGCCGGTGGCTCTTTTCATCTGCACACCACCAGAAATACCATTCCTGGGAGCCTTCCACTGTTCCACCGTCATCCCTCCTCCCTCTTTGCGTTCGTCCCAATCTGACTGCCCAGTTTCATTTCCCTTTGTCATAAAGCATTACTGTACAGGTTTGTGCAGCCACAACCCTGTCCAAAGTGACTGTCCCCCAAGGGAAAGCCAACCCTTCTGGCTGAGGCTCTCTCCTCCCATCATCCAAAGACTGGTACATTCACACCTCTCCTACAGCTGGCATTTACGACAAGGAGGGAGGTCGTTTCTGAAGACTGTGTGACATAGATTTGTTTAGCATTTCTGGAAGTTAGAAGTAGGAGGGTGTGGTGGCATTCACCTCTAATCCCAGCATGTGGGGTTCTGGGGTTCGCCTGAGTTGGAGGCCAGCCTGGTCTACACACTGGATTCCATGCTAGCTAGATACTTTGTCTCAAACAAAACAAACAAGCCTGATGGGTCAAGCTGTCTGCAGGGTCACGTGCCCTCCAAAGCTTTCAAGAGAAGTGGATCCTTTTCTTAGCTCTTGCAGCATCTGGCCTCCCCTGCTGGTTTTGATTGACTATGCACACATAATCCCAGTTTCTGCCCCGTTTCCGTGTTGTCTTCTGTGTATCTATGCCTTTCCTGGCCTCTCAGTTTCTTTTGTCCTCTTCTTCCAAGGACACTTGCCATACTGGGCAAGGACCCACCCTAATGACTTCATTTTAATAGGGTTTCATGCATAAAGACCTTTTCCCAATAAGGCCCCGTTCACAAGAACCATGGCAATGGACTTCAGCGCCTTTCTGTAGAGCACAATTCAATCCACATTGGAAGGGATCTTGGGCAAATTATTCTAGAGGGTGAGGAAGACGGAGAGAAAGAAGGCGTGAGTGGCAGGAACAGAATGTGCAGCTGAGAATTTCTGATTAACTCACCCCCTGCTCCCCATCAGAGACTCTGGAGGAGCAACACTTGAACTCTTGTGGTCTCATGAAACCCAGTCTATACCCTGGCTGGCCTTTTTCCCAGGCTGCAGATACCGCATCTCCAAACCCCCTGCAAAACAGCTTTATTTCACCACACCAGAACCTCTGAGAACTGCGAGACTTTTCAGACCCTTCTCATCTGCCAGGGGCTGCGACAGTCTAGACCAGGGCTTCCCAACCTTCCTAATGCTGTGACCTTTTAATGCAGTTCCTCGTGCTGTGGTGACCCTGAAACCATAAAATCGTTTCGTTGTTTCTTCACAACCACAATTTTGTTACTGTTACGGATCATGATGTAGATATCTGATATTCAGGATAACCGATGTTCAACTCCAAAGCAGGGGAGGGCCAGAGCCGCAGGTTTGAGAAGCACTGGGCAAGATTCTGTCTAGTTAAACACTGATAGCTGCCTGTGGAAGCAGTCCCAACGGTGACTAGATTTTACATGAGAAACCAAGGTTCTGGCAGGGTAGGGAACAGGCCTATAGGAACGAACTCCAGAGAAGCTTCCAGACAACCCAAAGGCAGCCTTCTCTCAGTTCCATGTGACTGAAGAAGATGGGACTGTGACGTATGGGTAGGAATGACAAGGGGGTGCAATGCTTTGAGCTGAAAAATATCTAACCCTTGGACTTCTGGTTCTTCAATACATAACTGATTTTCCTGAGTGTGGTTCCTTGTGTCACTAGGGGTTCTCAGGCATGACCAGGACAGGCTCTCAATGTTCTCCTCATCATTAGCCTACTCTTGAGGGAGACTTTGAACTCTGGACCCATTTGTTTTTCCTTTAGCTTAGCAGGAGGGAGAGGGAGAGAGAAAACAGCAGAAGCTCCCTTATCAGGGTGTGGTCAAAGGCATTGCCTCACCGACTTGCTCTCTGCCCAGATTTTCTATGTCCAGTGTCTACTCTTCCAGGGACTGGGGGCCTGCCCAGCAGTTGGTATTGTGACTGCCTGCTCTTCCCAAACTCCATTCACCCATTAGATTTTGCCAAAGCCCTGCATCTTCTCCCAGCTTACTACCGATGTCTTGGAGCTGACCTCCACCGCCCAGAGGAAGGAACAGGAAACCAGTCTTGGCTTTCTTTTCTTTCTAGAGCTTTGAAGAGAACATCTGCCTCTTGTCCATGGAGGATCTGTATTTTACAGCGACACTGCCCCTTGTCACCATCTGTTCTTGCTGGAGTGGAGGCAGTTTTATTTTGTGGGGAGCGGCATCGGAGTCGCTGATTGCGCGCGGGGGGGGGGGGGGGGGGGGGGGGGGGGGGGGGGGGGGGGGGGGGGGGGGGGGGGGGGGGGGGTTGGTGGCCATGTGATTCCCTTCCTCCCTCAGATTTGGGGTAGTCTCTTATCCAGTAGATTGTAGGTGCGCACCTCTGTGAAAGGGGGTCATTTACCTGATTGGAACGCAGGAGGTAAATGCAAACTCCGGCACTAAAAGCTCGTAGCATCTGCTGACTGTTCCCCCATCAATCATGTCCCTGCTCGGACTGTCACAACGTGCACTAGATGAGGCCTTATACGTCAAATACAATCTTCTCAGCTTTAGAAATGGCTTGAGTTTGCGCTTCCATATCTAAGGCCCAGCAGCAAGCTGTATCCAAATCTAGGGCTGCGGGCCCAGCTCCTTCACTAGGACGCTCCAGGAAGCTATGATGACTGAGGCTTGTCATCACTTCACTTACTTGCTGGAGAACTTCAAGCTCCTTGAGGGTAAGCACCAAATCCACCCTCAGCAGACAGGACCCAGCGCAGGACAGACGCCCATGGATGTTCTACTAGACCCAAAGGGAAGAGGGTTCAGTTCTTTCCAGAGGAGGCTGCGGAGCGTGCAGGGCTGAGCACTCTTTGGGTGCAAACGACTAGATTCAAGCCCCAAGCTCAGAGCCCACAGCCCAGGGCAGGGAAGGGGCAACCTCAGGAGCCCGCCTCTCCGCTGCAGTCGCGCCGCACTACGCACGCGCGTCGCCGGCCCGGCTCCGCCCCCCGGGTAGGGACCTACAGCGGGCGCGGCGGCAGCGGTCTGCGGGCGGTAGCCGGCGGTGTAGGTTCCTGTCCCTCCGCGGGGATCTGGGACCGTGCGGTGCCGCGGCGTCCGGGTGAGTGGCGGTGCGGGACCTGGGCGGGCGCGGTCGGGTGTGGCTCCACGGTCCCACAAGCTCGCCTCAGGCCCGAGGCGCCTCCCGTCGGGCTAGGCGGGTCGGGTCGGAGACCCACGGCCCATCCCGCGGCCTTTGTGCAGCGCCGGCTCAGTCCGGCGACTCTGCGCGCCGGGTGGCTGAGCCGGCTTTTTAAATGATGCCTCAGACCCGAGCAGGAAGTGTCGTCAGGAGGCCATTTTTAAAGCCTCTCGGCCTCAGAGGCTGGCTTGAGGCGGCTTTAGCTTTCGGCTTTTGGAAGACACCCCATCTGCGTCTGGCTGACCCTCAGGGGACGCGACGGTGCGGGCTCTCTCGTAGCCGCGCCTCGCTCAGCGCCGTCGGCGCCCTGGCCTCGCCCGGGAGAGCGTGCATCCCTGCGAGCGCGCCAACAATAAACTTGAGGACCACGCTGGCATTGTCTTTGGAGCGGGTGTCGGGGTGGGCCTGCCCACAGAGGACCTAATCGTGGGTGGGATGCGGCTGGTGTCACCTTTTGTGGGACAGCTCCATCACAGCTTTTCAGTTTGATCTTGTTTCTTGGGGTTGAGGGTGGATGCAGATGAAGGCTAGGGAAAGGGTGCAGAAGAGGGGAAAGAACCAGTGCAAAGTTTATGACCCGAAAAGGGAAAACCAAAAGATAGAAGAAGATATCGAACTCCCCTTAGGATTGTTGGGGATTTGACATATCCTTTTAAACTACTTCTGCTCTTAAAAAATAGAATACCAACGATATTTATCATAAAAACTTGAAACATCAAGCACATTGTCCTATTGAAAAGTAGCCTACCAACCCAACTCAATGTTGTGTTTGAGGCCTTAAAAACATTACCTTAAGTTTAAAATTGAAATCGTCTTAAAAGAAAATTCCCTGGGTGCCAATAACTTGCAGCACTTGGCTACAGAAGAGAAGCCAGCTGGCTTGGAAAGGTGTCTCTGTCCCAATAAATTGCACAAAGTTAAGTCCAATCCAGGACTGTACAGGAGAGCATGCCCTTGCTGAGGATTCTTGTGTAAGTATGTTTGAAGCGTCATATCCAGCTTTTTGCATTGTAGGCATTATCTCTATCCAGTACAAGCATTTATTAAAGATTTTTTTTTGTCTTGGATCTGGTAGTGAGCCCTGATAAGGCTAACACATATGACAGACCCAGCCATGTTATAGTGGTGGCTATCGAAGAGTAAAGGTAGTTTCCTCCTGAATCGCTCATTTTCAGGCCCATTTAAAGAAACCTAGATATTCTTATCCATCTGCCTTTAAATAAGAGGGTCTGGGACAGTATTTGTGCAAGAGGCAGAACAAAGAGCAGGTTAATAATTGTCGCTGCGAAGGCTGCCATTTTCTTTGCTCCTTCCCTTATCCTCTGAGCCAGTCCAACGGTGGGCTTTTCATGTCCAAGTCTGCTGTTGCTGGGGTAAGGGGGGGGGGCCTTGCCAGTGATGATTTTCCCTGCCTTGATTGCTCCTAAACCACCTTTGATCTCCGCTGCATACTGTTGCTACCCTGCAAATCCAGCTGCCTGCAGAGAAGTGGCTAGAGCCATCTAATCCAGACCACTCCTTCACGGGTGGGAGTGGGAGACATAATCTGGGAAGGTTTCTGAACCTGTCATGTGCCCTACCCCAGGAAGGGTGCCATCCATTGCGTTTAGGCCACAGGGTTCCTGGGAACCCTTTCTTTTTTAAGCTTAGGTTGGCTGCCATTGAGAAGCACTTGGAAGGTTTATTCGTTTTGTCTTTCCTACAATAAATGTATCCAGGAGACCACAGCTTGCAGATCCCACACTTATACCCGAGTGTCTGACTCTGTTGCAGGCCTATTGGCGCAGCCCTGGCTTCTGTGCCTACATGTCTATACCAGGGCCTGACGTCCTGAGACCTATGGTCCTCTGTATCTGAGAAGGCCTGAAAAAGAAGGAAGAGCCACCGAGACTTGCTACACTCTTGACTTCTGGGACTGGAAGAACAGTGCCCAAGAAATCAGGGATCCTGGCTGCGACCTGAGTTCACAAGACAAGAGTTTGGACTGAATGCTGGCTGCTATCACTTCCCACATCATTGTGACGTAGAAAAGCCACATACCACCTCCAGGCCTGTCGTTTTGAAAGAAGCAGGTAATTAAGTTTTGCTTCAGAGCACGTCCAGTCACAGAGCCTGCCCCTACAGGCACCCTTCCTGACCAGGGCCAAAGTGCTGTGGCATGGGCCAATGGCCAGCCACTGAGAGCGCCCTGCTCAGCTTCCTGATAACAGGATCCACATTGAATTTGCCCATTTACTTCCGAGCCCAGTCAGACAGACTCCTTGGGGAAAGCAGCCCGTACAGAGTTGGGGCTAGTATGATCCTTGTCTATGCCTTTTGTACGTGGCCATGCCCAAAAACTGTGGAGGGAGAGTGGGAGCATTTAGATTACTGAGATCTTCACACCTCAAGAGCACCTTGGTGTTTCCAAGGTTGTGTTGCAAAGCCTTGACTCTTGTATATTTAGGCCCTGTCACTACCCTGAGGCTGTGACCTAGCCCCACCTCTACTGTGAGGTCTACAGAGTGACGAGTTTTCCTTGCCATCCCTACTATCCTGCACCTGTAATACGGGTGGTCTCCAACCCAAGTTGCGTATTAGAACCTTTTTTTTTGTTTTGTTTTGTTTTTTGAGACAGAGTTTCACTGTAGCTTGGAGCCTGTCCTGGAACCAGGCTGGCCTTGAACTCACAGAGATCCGCCTGCCTCTGCCTCAGCCCGAGTGATGGGGGGGATTAAAGGCGTGTGCCACCACTGCCCAGCTTGAACCATTTTCAAAGCCTTGTAGACTTGTTTCTGGATTCTGCCCTGCCCCTGCCAGTATCTCAGTTGCAACCCCGTCTGAGGAATGGGACTCAGGCAGCAGCAATTCTCAAAGCTTCCTCAGTAACTTCCTTTAAACACTGTGGCCTTATCCAGACCATATTTGCCTTAATGGAGGCAAAGCCAGTGATTCCCCTGTGTAGAAGGAAAGATTTCTTCTCTTTCATTAAACTCTCTGGTCTACAAATTTAGGGGTTTTTGAGGCAAATAAAAGAAAACAAGGGAACTACAAAAATGTTGTTCATACTAAATATCTTTAATGAATATTTAAATGTTTGAAATCCGAAATTTGTACCTATTCCTTATAATACCACTTGGTCGTGTGTGTGTGTGTGTGTGTGTGTGTGTGTGTGTGTGAATGTGTATGTGTGATCTGATGCTAATAAGCGTATTTGCTCATTAGCGTTTTCTTTTTCACATTTAAGCTACAAGTTTCAAACTCAAAGGATTCCAACCCTATTCTTACTCTTAAACTATCAGGAGAAGTAACGCATAAAATCCCCTTTGTTCTCTGCTGTAGAGTTTGCTGATGCTCTCTGCAGAGCCAGTTCCTCCTTCAGTCCTGGGGAGCAGTACCTGGGCGCTCCTCGCCGCCTAGCAAGTCCTCTGTGTGTGGACCTTTCCCTCAGCCACCTCTTTTGTTCATTCTTACAGTTTCTGCTCCTCAGAGCTTTACTGGACTCTTCGACTTAAAGGAGTCTTGCCAGAATGTTGGCATTTCCTGACAAGACAGGCTCTTTGGTATTAGCCGCTTGCATTTGGTTTTTGTTCGTTCATCCTGACGTTAGCCATGTGGTCAGTTGTCCCGCTTTTACAACCGCAGGGACTGTTAAGTTAGCTTAAAAGTCTAAAAAAACTCACACAGTTGGTTAGCTAGCAAGCCAGAGACCCACCTGCCTTTTGACCCTTGACCTTGGTTTCTCAAGATCCTGTGCTCTGCACTCTTAGAACTGTCCAGCACTGAGAAAGCAGCCAGGCTGTCACAGCCTTCTGGCTCCGTTCTGTTGCCCCAGCAATACACCCACTTTCAGAAGACAGTGGGATCCCCGGGGGCGATGTGTTGTCAGTGACATTTGCACACGCTTTTTGTCATCCAGGTGGCAGGCAGTCTTAATCATTCCTGAGTGCAGAGCGCTTCAGCACGAAGAGTCCATTGTGTGGTTTGCATTGCCTGTTTAGGCCGCTTTCCCACCTGCCCAGTTCTGATTTGTGGTCATTGAAGTACTCAGCCAGGCGGTGAGATGACACGCTTTTTCTAAGTCTAATGCTGACATCTTCCCCATCCACACGCCACTGGGCATTATGGGGTCAAATAGTGCTAAAGGGGTCACTGAGAGGGACAGGCGAGATGAGTCATAAGCAGAAGGAATGCATAGGTACAGCTTGTGAGTGGCACCCTGTCCCTTGCCTGGCAGTGGAGAGAAAGAAATCACTTCTCAAAGGATCCAGCCAATAAGGGCTGAAAAGTTAAACATCCAGCAGATCCTTTGTTCTTCCTGTTCAGAGCACAGTCCCTGCCCTAGTGATGGATGTGGGTGGAGCCACAGTAAGGAATAGTTCTGGATCATAATGCCTACAGAAAGCTACTTGAGTTTGTTTCCCAGTCAAAACAGATATAGCCAGTCATCCATCCTGTGCGCCAATGGATGTGATCCAGTATCCAGCTACGTCCTTTCCTCACTGACATCTGGATGGGACATTTGCTGCCCACCTGTGTCAAGAGGGTAGGGAAAGGTCACCTGGTTGAGTAACTGACACCATTGCCAAGGGTGGTGTGCATCCAGCAGTGTCTTTTGTCTCATGCTGAAAACTGTCCTATCACCACTGAAGCTGACAAACTGTTTCTACCAGGATCAGTTTAGGCTGTGCAACCAAATAGAATTAAAAGGTAAAGTGACTCAGCTATGTTCTGGAGAGAGCCATGGTCAGGCAGCTGAGAAACCAATGCTTGGCATAAGGTCTTCATTAAAAATGTAGAGTAACATTGAATGAGCCCAGGTGAGTCAAGGGCTTTCCCAACACATCGCACCTGCATTGTGGTAGCTCCTCTTACTGCCGACTGTGTGGTGTCGGCTGGGAGCAGCGTGCCCAGTTCACACACACTGCCCTTTAAAACCCTGCGTTGTTTCTCCAAGGATAATGTGGGACCTAGGCTTCCACTCTGGCCCTCTCTGATCTGTTGGACACTAGTAAGCATTGGGATGCCATACGCTTCCTTCTGAGGGATGGGTGCAAACTTTGTCTTTGACCATCTTTTGTGTCACTGAACTGGAGCTTCAAGGTAAATGTTTTACCCTTGTGTTCCTCTAATAAGTGTGTAAGAAATCAATACAAGTGAGTTCAAAAGAATTCTGTTAAAAATGCAGGGGAAAAAACCCCACCCTTAGTGCATGCAAATAAACTCCCACCCCTGCCTCAGTGCAGAGACCAAGTTTATGGTACACAGAATTATACATGACGGTTGCTATAGATAATTGTGTTATTTAAAGGCTTCCTATATCCTGCTAAGTCATTTATTATGGGAAACAGACAGTGTTAAATGGATCTCCTACTGCGCCATTAAGTTAATAATACTGAGCTCTTCTGAGTTATCTGAAAAAAAAAATGGAGTTTTGCCCTATGAGCTGTGCCTTTGGAGGTCCGTGGACTCTGCTGCTGACATGTGGGGTGCCTTCAACGCTAAGTGCATCCATGTGCAGTCCTCTGTCTGCAGTGTCTTCTGTCATCCAGTCCATTGACAGTAACTTGCCAAGGATTCAGCTTTCCAGGTAGTTGGGTGTGAATCAAACGAAGGACCCTGTGTGTAAGGAAGGAGGTATTGGCTGTACCTGAGAAGTGTTATGTCCATTGCAGCCACCATCCGTCTCCCATTCGTTGCCTCTGCTTACCCTTTCCTTGAGGCATTAAGACTGGAACTGAGTTCTCTCCTGAACTTCAACATACAAGTTGCAAAGGTTCAGCTAGAACTTTTAAAAGAAACCCCGCTCTTTCCTACTGTGAGGGGGAGAAATGGTGGTATTGTTCTAAGGACTGTTAAAAAGTGTGGAAGACACTGTGAAATGGTTCACAGCCCAGACGTCTGCCCTCTCTGTACAAGGATGTGTGCTCATCAGTCCTGTATGTCCCATTTGAGAACCCTTGTTCTCAGGGATTCTTAATTCCAAATACAAGTTGTCCCCCAACTTACGATAGTTGAGCCTAGCACGCTGTGACTTCACACGGTGTAGATGCAGTGTGCACTCAGCAGGAATCACACTTCTCGGTTTGTTTTTTAACCTTTTAGCAGGCTAGCCATGTGCAGCACAGCACTGTTGTGATGTCGGGTGGCAGCAGGGATCTGGAGCTCGTGGTCAGCCATGCTGTCGTAAGTGTAAGCTGTGAACTGTATCCAAAAGTGAAATGACCTACTCATTATAACTGTGTGCTGTGCTGTGCTGTAGGCCTGCTGTATTAAATTCATGCTTCACTTAGCATATTTTCAATTTGTGGTGGGTCATAAACCCCTCGGAAATTGGGGGGCATATAGAATGGCTGAAATGGTTTTGCAGAGATGGTAGGTACCACAGGACCCTGCTCTTCCTCAGCCACTTGGTGCTGGCTTGATTGTTTTGGAGAAACTTCTTCAGGATGCTCTCTGCTTCTCACTAACGGTCACGGACCTGCTGGCTAAATCCACTTCAAGTCTTGTTAGGACTTGAGGAGAGAACATCACCGCTTCCCTACATGACTCTTTGAGGCTGTGAAGGTGTGAAAACCTGAATGTGTACCAGTGTAATCCTGGCTGGTGTGGTTCTTCCCCTGCAGGAAGCTTTGCAGGTGGGCTTCTCTGAGAACCACTTACAGCTAATGTTTGCCTAACGAGGTGCCGCATTGAAAGCATCAACAAGCGAGCCATGGGGGGCCAGGGTGTCAATTAGCGCCCCCACCAGCACCACTGTCACCTACATCAGAAGTTTATCAGGCTGGTAGATAAGAGCATTGGGTAGGGACCAGGTGCAGATCTTTGGAACAGAACTGAGGACCAAGGACTGCCTGGCAAGAGACGGGCTGTGCAGGTTACTAACTGGCCCATCAAGAGTAAGTCCTTTGTTTTCCTGCAAGTCAGTTGAAGATGAGCTACAGGGAAGCTTCTTCATTTTTATCTCAGGGTACATTTTTGACAATGAGAACAGAATTCCACCTGAAGAGGGAAGGATGTGGGAACTCAGAGGATCCTCTGTGTCCCAGGTGTAGGTGTTCGGAGGGCTTGGACAGGTCTGGGAGCTAGCGATTTCAGCCGCTGCTTTTGTCAGTGTTACCCAGTGCCTTAGCTGATGCTGCTTTAACAGCCGTATCTCCTTAGAGGGAATACATCTCAGGAATGTCGGTGTCTTCATGTCTCGTAGGCTCCTCCAGCTTCAGGACCACCGGACACAAGCCCTATTCCCTGACTTCAGCCTCTGCATTCTATGGCTCTGTGGTTTTCCAGGCTCTGCTTGCAGTTGTGGTGTCTGCACAGAGTTGCTGGCGAGAACATCTTGAAGATGCTCGTGTTGTTAAATTATAAAGTCTGGTTTCAGAGACCAGCAGCCTCAGGCTTAGGAAGCTAGCCCAGGCTTGTGCCCTAGAGATGAGCAAACAGGTGCACATAGGTCACTGTGGAGGTGACTTTGCCTATGGCAGAAGTACTAGGGTTCACCCTGTCTCCTTTCATGTGTGCCGTCTACAGATCTAGAAAGTAACACGTGTGTCTGCTTCCCCTACTGATGCTTCTCAAAGGCCTCTCTACGTCTACACCAGGGAACAGCAGAGAAGAAAGGCTAGTCTCTGCTGCTAGTTGGCAACGTTCATGTGTCCTGTGCAAGTCATGGTCCTCTGGCATATGTATATGCCTGAACGTGGAGCCGTCAGACAGCACTTGCAGCCCCCAAGGCCTCTGTCTTCTTGATGCTGAGCCTAGTATCGGGCTTGGCTGCGTGCTGGTAGTTTTGAAGAAGGTAACCATCATTCAGCAGAGCTAGACAGGAAAGAGAATAATACCGCAGCAGAAATCACAGCTCGCCATTAACTAGGGTCTCCAGTGTTTTTCAGAGCTACATTTAAAGGGTTTTATGCCGGAAATGAATGTGGCTGCCCTGAGCTGGGCTTTCAGACTGGCATTGTATAGCTCTTGGCTTAACCATCCTGTGCCAGAAGGAGCTGCTGGTTCTCCCTCATTTTCTTGCCCATCACCTAACACTTTGAGTGTCTGTCTGTGTGCTTACTGCCCTGTGGAGAGGCTGCATGAAGTGTCCGTGGTCCTCATTGCCAGATGACAATGAGGAAATTTGTTCAGATGATGCGGGTGTGGTTTGTTTAAGATCATAAAAGACCAGCTTCCAGCAGATTCCAAGCAAGTATTGTTGGGCTTCTAGTTTGTATCTTCCAAGTAAAGTGTCTATGCGTTGAATATTCCCAGTCACCATGTAACACGTGCATGAGCACGATGTATCTTACTTGTTCTAGAAGATACGTGTTTCTGCTCTTGTTCTAATCCAAGGCATCGTGGCCCACAGTGGCCGTTCAGTCCTTTGTAGGCTCTAGTCCTCCCGCATCACTGCATGCCATTGAATACAAATCTGAGTGTCGTTCCCCTGACCCAGTCCCTCTCCCAGCTCTGTCACATATACAGGAAGAACTGCCATCCTGTGAGGCTGTGTCCCATTCTGATCATCCTGAGGCCCCCACCTCAGTCCCTTGCTAACTCTCCAAATGCTCCAGGCCCACTTCCTACAGATCCTGGCCCTCTCTGCTTGACACATCCTTTTTTTTTTCTGGACTTCCACAGAGCTCAGTCCCTGGCTGCCACAGGTCTGTATACAGATGTGGCTTCCTGTCCTCAGTCTTTCCTGAGTCATTCCTTCCTTCCGCCAATCCCTCCGCCTCCTCGCATGAGCTCCCTACCCTCTTCACCTTGCTTTTTGATATTTCCTTACCAGTTTTTTTTTTCTTAAACTGTCATTTGACTACCAAATATATGAACCATGCTCCCAAATGTGGGCTTCATAAGTGGAAGACAGTGGTACATAGTTTTTAAACATTTTTAAATTCTTCGCATGTAAACACATGCCACGGAACATACGTGGTAGTCAGAGAGCAACTTCCAGGAATGGGTCTTCTCCTACCATGTGGGTTCTGAGAGTGGAACCCAGGCCGTCAGTGTATTTACCCATTGAACCGTCTCTTGATCACTGCCCTTCAGCTTACGGACAGAGCCTCACACCTGATGGAGGCCATGAAGATGGTAAAGAAATCGCTATGTTTGAGACAGTGTTGCTGGCTTCTCCACTTGTGCAAACCGAGTGGGTGTGTGAATAAGAGTTGCTATAATGCAGGTGCATGTGTGAAAAACTGACCATAAGACCTGTCTCTACCACTTGGTGACGCACACGTCAAGGCTGAGCTGGCAGTGTCTTCTATGATGTTTTCTAAGGATCATCTGAATCTACCTGTGGTCACTGTCAATAAACAAAACATTCAGAGGTGATCCTGAGCTACTGGTGAGAATCCTCCAGGTAGCTCTGGCTCCCAGTTGATGTGGGCTAGAGAATGTTCCTAGTTTAGCCTTGCCAACATGCTTGTGTTTGTGTTTGTCCTTCTAGTCTCTGTGGGGATTCCCTGTGACGTTCCCACAGCGTCATGCCGGCACAGTGGAAATAGTGGTAGCTTAGCCAAGCTATGAGCCTCTGTACTAATCATGCTTTATGGTCTTTTCCTGTAGTGTTGCCTGGAAACAGAATTGAAAGCATACTGTGCTTCATGTATTTCCTGTGAAAGGACACAAAACGTGATTGATCGTTACGCATTTGCCAAGAAGTGTCTGCGGCTCCACCAGTCACTGGGTGTGCGGGAAGGATGTCTGCAGAGGACTTTATCAAATGACATCTTCGATTTCAGCTGGCTATGTGGGTATGCAGATAAAGAAGATGAAGGACATCGGAGAACAGCTGTATACCACACAAGTGAATGGTGGACCAAGTTCTTTGACCATGTCCCCCAAACAGCCTAGTTGTACTAGAGCAACCCGGCCAGACAGACAGGAAGCACAAACCTTACTGTACCAAGGCTCAGAGGCTGAGACGACCACACTGACCATTGCTACCTGTGTACAGTGCAAAAGCGTTCACAAGATCCCGCCTCAAGACTTAAGGAAGGGCCCTGGGCAGAGCCAGAAGGAAGACGCTTTCGTCTGCTTCAAATGCAGCCTTCGCACGATACCTACCCAGCTTCATTTTGTGAACAATAACCCCGCTGCTGTTCTTGTCAGAAATGAGACCGAAACCATCTCGAGCCCTGTAACTAACAAATTTAAGGTTAGGAACTTCAAGCCGGGGAAATTCTACTGTGACAAATGTCGCTTCTCCACAAAGGACCCGCTGCAGTACCGAAAGCACACACTGCAGCATGAGGAGATCAAGTTCATCTGCTCCCACTGCAGCTACATCTCCTACACGAAGGGCGAGTTCCAGAGGCACCTGGTGAAGCACACGGGCGTCTTCCCGTACCGCTGTGAGTACTGCGACTACGGCGCTATCCGCAATGACTACATTGTCAAGCACAGGAGGAGGGTCCACGAGAGGGCCGGTGCCAAACGACCATTCAAAACCGTTGCCAAGCTGGAGCCCAAGAGAACCAACATTGCCAAGCAAAGCACAGAACTCTCGAAGGCCCCCAGCCCCAGGACTACCTTCCAGAACAAGTTGTCAGAGCAGCTATCTCGGTTCTCTCTCCACACAAACAAAGACAAGACACACAGTGTGATGCTCTTACCTGAGCTAAAGAAGTACCAGAAAGATGTAGTGTGTATTCCCAACAAAATGGCCCTGTCAGAGCCAAGCGAGGTGAGCTTGTTGGGGAATAAGAATAACGTTGAGGTGGAAGTCCTGTCCCCCTCGAAGGAGCCTGTGCAGGCGGGTGTGCCGCTGACAGTCATGGCTCCCTCGGAGCTGGTGGTCCCCACCAACTGTCTAGCCCAGTTGATCGATGTGAAGGTTGTCAATGGCACACAGCAGCTGGTGCTTAAACTGTTTCCGTTAGAAGAAAACACCCGCCTTGACACAGGCAGAGGAGATGGGGGGACCTCCATCTGTACTATTACGGAGAAGGGCTCCGGGGGACAGAGAAAGATGCTCTCTATGGAAGCAGCAAGGTCGCTAGCAATGGAAGGGAACGCTGGAGAGTTTGTGGGCCTTGATCGGCTGCACTCTTTAGTTCAGAAACAACTAAAAAATGTGAAGTGGGTCAAGTCTTGCAATTTCTTCATGCCCAGTTCTAGTGTGCCCAGTCATCAAGACTCTTTTCTCAGCTCCGAGACAATTAAAGATTTGCAGAAAACTCACAGTCTGTGTCCACCTAGAGCCCTTCCCTCTGCTGTCTTAAAAGGCCATTCTCCAGCCTCTGTACAAAGCAGTCTTTCCTGCGGTCCTGGAGCCACAGTGAACCCTTTCTTGAGTAAATCAGCAGTTCCTTTGGCTGAAGAAGGCAGGGCTTCCCGCAGTGACTCCCGGCTGCTCCTTCCCCTCACCTCGTTGCCTGCAAAGGTTCCCTTCTCTGGAGAGAAGGGCATTCTGCCTAGAGGTGAAAGTGACTTGGAAGCCAGGAATCGGACTAGTTGTCCTGAAACAATGGTTCCCTCTGACAGGAAGCTGGAAGACAAACAGGTAGAAAACAAGGCAGTGGGAAATACAGGCCAGGTTTCCTCTGCACAGACAAAAGAGTACTTACACATAAACATTACTGGGGAAGATAAACTGAGGTCCCAACAGCCTGGGGATCAGCCTGAGCAGCCGAAGAATTCTGAAAAGACAGGTAACACATTTGAGGGTCCCATCATCTCGTCAGTATTTTCTTTGAGCTCTGGATCTGAAAATGTGCCAGAGGGCATTAAGTGGAATAATTCAACAACCAAAATAAAGTCCATCGAACTGCTTCGCAGAAAGATCGCACAGTTAATTGAGTCGTGCGGCAAGCCCTCCTCTTTGTCTGCCAATGGTGCTCAGCGACGGTCCATAGGGCAGGCACCCAAGCTGGCTTCAAAAGCAGCTCCCAAGGGCAGTCAGGAAATGAGTGTGTCTCTTACTGGCCCTGGCCCTAGTTCCGGCCCTTCCGTAGGTCCTCTCCAAAACCCTCAGAATGAAGGCAGCGTGGCTGGCAGCGGGCAGCTTGCTCAGCAGCAGATCTGCCCCAAGTTTGCCAGTGCTGACGATGGAGAAATGGAGAGCAGAGTGACCAGAAAGACTCCCGTAGCGACTCCAGTGCTGATCCCCAGAGGGGCCGTGTTGAGGGTCCTGAACTCTTCTGAAGATGCCCACATCATCGAGGCCACCTGCGACACCCCTGTCAGCATACCCTGCAGCGAAGCCCAGTTAGAACCGTTTCCGTTCTGCCCTGCGAAACAGGCCAGCTCAGGCTCCCAGCCTTTGGCCTGCAGACGCGGGTCGGCAGACATGTCCCCCAATCTGGAGACATCTCTTCGGCCCAAACCTAAAAAGGAGGACTCTATCTGCGGTAGTACCCCTAAGAAAATCATCCCTGTGTACAGCACACAGACAGGGAACAGTGACTCCAGCAGGCAAGGGAGGCCCATTTCTAGGAACCTAACCCTAAGCAAGACTAAAACCAAGCAAGTGAGCTCAGCCAAGAAAAAAAGCAAGCTGCAGGCGGATCCCAGCCGCGGCCTCAAAGACCCTTCCTTTTTTCAGGTCGCCAGGCAGCTGCGACTCATAGCTGCCAGGCCAGATCAGTTGATCAAATGTCCCCGCCGGAACCAGCCGGTCATCGTACTAAACCATCCTGACGTGGACTCCCCCGAAGTGAGCAACGTGATGAAGGTCATAAACAAGTACCGAGGCAATGTCCTCAAGGTTGTGCTCTCCGAGAGGACTCGGTGTCAGCTGGGCATCCGGCGGCACCACGCACGCCTGACCTACCAGACCGCAGACGAGGCGAGCCACATGAAGAGGCAGATGATGCTGAAAATGAAGCTGAAGAAGGTTCACAAGAACAACTACCAGGTGGTGGGCTCCCTGCCTGACGACCCTGCCCAATGCGTGTTTAAGTGCTGGTTCTGTGGGCGGCTCTACGAAGACCAGGAAGAGTGGATGAGTCATGGCCAGCGGCATCTGATAGAGGCCACCAGAGACTGGGATGTTCTTTCTTCAAAGGGCAAATGAGTCAGAATTGGTCTTTGAAGCAAATTGGTTTTCTTCTAGTATTTGTGGCTTAGAGTCGCACCCTAGACTCTCGATGCAGTAGAAGGGGTTTGCTTTTTTCCCAGAGTCACCATAGAAAGGTGGAGAGCCCCTTACCTGAGCTCTGTGGCTGGGCTAGGAGAGGTGGGAGACCCCTGAAATTCTACTGTTTTCTGTTGAAAGGAAATAACGCTCTCCACAGGTTTTCGGTGGGATCTGAGGCCTTTCTTACTTAGTGTTTTTTTTTTTTTTTTTTTCTGAATAGACACTTCTTTCATAAACCATTTAGAGGGGCAGGTTTATGATTGACAGGCTTCTTGGATAAATGCTACTGAAGAGATCAGCCTGTGTTTCGGTGCACACCTCCACTCTGATTTTGCTTTGGCTCTTTCAGAATATTTGGTACATGATAGAAATTTTCTACTTGATGGGCCATTTTAAATTTGGTTAGAAAATACACTGTGCTTGCCCCTCCCACTCCGAGGACTAACAGTGTTCTGCAAAGCCACGAGCTTTGCTGTCCCTGGTCGTGTGTCAGCAGCAGGTGTTAGCAGAAGAAAAGACAGATTTTTCAGTATTTAGGTTTTACCTGCTTATTGGTAATAGTTGGGTAGGGGATGTGTAATTGTTTTTTTGTTGTTGTTGTTAGGTAAAGAAGGAAAGATACATAAAGTTGAGTCTGCTCCACAGACATAAAGGGCCACTTTAAAATGTGAAGGAGCAGATCCATTAAAACACAACCTCGGCAGTGCCATTCCAAGTATACTTGAAAGCAGGCTGTGACGGGCCTGCTGTGGCTGGCTTCTCACCCAGGAGTCCGTGCAGAGCCCCACGGAAGGCCACCACTCTTAAGTATAAAATCCTAGGGCTGTTCCCCAGGCCAGAGCAGTTCTCCCCGTGGCCCTTTCTGAGCAGGTTCTCCTGGGGACGAGCGTAGCCTCTGTCTGAGACCCAGAACATTTTTCCTCATGAACATGAACACTAGCGACTTCGGGAATCAACCACATGGGAAGAGAAGCACTACCCGTTCTCAGTGCGAGGAACGGAGCACTCCTAGTCTAGCCACAGATGCTCTCTTCTTGCTCACCTCGACTCCACTAAGAGGTGTCAAGACCAGCCAGTCCACGAGGCACTCGTGCACACTGGGAGAAAGCCTATTTCCTGCATGGGTAGGGCTTCCTGGGCCAGGGCAGCTCAGGCGAGGGGGGGCATCACAGGCTTGAGGCTGTCCATCCTTAAGGACTTAGTGGTGCTGAGTGGGACTGGGGTGAGAGCTGGGTAGATAGGAAATGGTTCGGTGACTTCTAGTCTACTGGGTAAGCAGACTTCCTGCCTTTGCCTTAGCACACGGCAAACTCATCCTCTCACAGTTGGGATTGTACTCCTTCAGGTTTGTTTTCATTATAAATACATGGATTTTCTTAGGTATGATTTAATACCTGATCATTTTAATTGATAATTTTAATTTAAAAGTTGCATTTTTATATATGTGTATATATGTGTACACATATAAATATTTTTTACCATATGCAAATTGCAACAGCTAATTTTCTGATTTCCTATTTTATAATGATACATGAGCTGGGAAAATATAAAGCTTTTATATTCTAGAAATAATTTATTTTGAAAGAACATTTTTACAATGGTTTCATCTCATTTTTAGAAAATGAAAGCACAGTAAGTGGTGGGAGCTGATTCCTATGAGCAGACGGGAGTAGACAACCGCTGTGGTCATTGTATTGTGGCATCCAGTCATGCTTGGTGCTCGGTGGCTCTGTAATGCAGGCATTCTGAGGTCTGATCTGCGGTGCAGCCCGGCACCCTGTGGCTCCAGTGTCTCATGTGATGGGGCAGAGGGGCTGTGGGATCCACTCCTTTTCCACCTCACTGCTGCACAGTTTTATCCCCCGAATGGCGGGGCCAAGAGCTGCCCACAGATCAGCGCCAACAGAATGGTCGCACTCTGCAGCAGCTGCTGCTTTCAAGTATTACCTAAAGCAACTATTACCTATGTGGAGCTGGAGTTAGTGAGCAGAAGATGTAGCGCGTCTTTGGGAAATTTTTGGAACTGTGATCCTTGTTGAACAGAGGGCTCCTGGAAGCCCGTAGCATGGGAGAAGCAAAAGCGACTAACTTTCCAGACACAGATCTTTAGAACTAGCGTATTGGTGTAGGCGAGTGTGTGGAGGGAGGAGGACAGGAATGTGGTACTTCCATAGTCTTACCTTGACTTTGAAGGATCTAGTCACTACATTTTGTTGATAGTACTTATAAAATTATTTTAAACTTATTTTTTAAGCTAGTCTTTCTTACTTTGGGGGACCAAAAAAAATGAAAGGATCCTCTTATATTTATGAAATAGACAAGTAGAATGAAAAAAAGTTTAAGCCTCTGACTCTTAAGTGTCCTCTCAATAAATTATATTTTATTCCAAATTTTATCTCCAGCCCAAAACATTTTGTGAGCCCCCATCATGGGCTGTACACTGTTGAACTAAACTAAATATGGTGTATTGACCCTCCAAAGTTCCATCCCCCTTTATTTAGAATTATAAGCCACCCCGGAAGATGAAGGTATAGTGTCGTTTAGCCTTCAGAATGACTTTTGAGTCTGTGAATGTCTTTATGAGCAGAAAACAAAACTTTGTCTGAACATGTCGAGCATTACAGTTCCTGTGTGAACAGTCTGTGTGTCTGCTGCTCTGGTTCTGAAACATGTTTGTATATAGATAGAAAAGTTGGCATCAGTTTTGTTTAAATAAAGCAACTTTTAAAATCTTCACTGCTCTCTCACTTCCGACATTAAAACAGGGTGGCTGTGAAACACAGAATCGTGTGTGCACTACTGATGTGCGTAAGGGTGGTGCTACACACAGCACAGGCATTGGATTCTACCAGGGTGTTAAGACACCTTCCCAGACATGCAAACCCTGCTGTGAATCCACACAGCCCTTCTCTTTGGCTTTGCTCGACAGAACAGTGATTTGAAGAGCATCTCGAGTTTCCTACCATGCCCAGTGACCCAAGTGGCCTCTCAGAGAAAGAGATTTAGGTGAGCATGTTCTAGCGGTCGGGCATTTTCACTGAGGCAGAAGCTGTACTGCTGCCATCTTTGGTCCAAATTAGCAGCCCCTGTACCAGACTCCACGCGTAATTGGGAAGAAGGACCATGATGTTTTAAAAAGGATTCCTAATCTCAGGGAAAACTGAGCTTGAGGTAAACATTGGCCACATGAGGGGGGGTGGGGACATAGGTTACATCCACTTAACAATTTGACTAACCAGTTCCCTACCTGACTGAAATGAGCTGTCTGGAGGGTTCTTCTGTTTTGACAGTTCCTACATCAGACGTCTTTCGATGAGATGGCCTGCCTGGGAAGTAGATTTAGTCCACTGTGGCACTATCCAGTGGAAATATAACAAGCCACCTGTCAGTAACAAGAAAACGTGATGTCAGTTAGGATTGCTTTGCCAGCGCCTTTAAAAATATTTCAGTATTTTCAGTATACTCAGATTCGGTGCTTTTTTTTTTTAAATATATAATTTAGGAATCTGGCCTGTGTTTCCATATTTCAGTTTTGATGTTAAAATGTTCAGCTATAGCCAGAAGCAATTTTACCAGAACACTGAAGTGCTTAGCAGAGTGTTGTTTCGCACTGCTTCCATCTTAAGTGGTCACCCTGGCCACATTTCAAAACTGCAAGCTTCAAGGATCTGGTACCCTCCTGCCCCGTGCACACAGATGGGCATACTCGCGTTGGCATTTATGCTTATACACTTTTTAAAAAGCTGGTTAAGACATGGGGAAGAGAGAACCTCAACATAATGCTTAGCAGTACCAAAGCTGAAAGTCTGGGTTGCCTTCGTCTGCATTCCCTTGATACTGATGAAATGATGTATCGTGCTAGTGCTTGTTAGACTTTTGGTTTTCTGTAAATAACCAGGTATTTTGACCATTTTACTAATAAACTGTTAACAGGCTTCTAAAATAAACTAGAGTCCATAAAAAGAAATCAGTAAATAAAAAGAAATTCTCTTTAGTTTTCTGCCTAAATCGTTCAAACCCTGATGTGAGTCCACGCTGCTGTTGTTTGGTTTCAGTCCACCAGAGGGACCACTCTGAACGGTAGGGGCAGCTCCTGTGGTGCCCAGTGGCCTTGGTGGAGATGCCCGTGAGTGCTTCACCTGCCTGCATGTCTGACCTCTCCAGAAGGTTGTTTCACTTTGTATCTTATTTTAAAAGTACTTCCCTACCTTGAAGTCGAGTCCTTAGTGTGAAATTTTTAAAAGTAAACTTCCATACCACGGTGGGCACAAGTAGAACAGCCTCTCAGTCTCAAGGGGACCCAGCCCAAATTGTTTCCTCTATGAAAAGTATTTGAATCCTAACAGATGGAAATTCTCACTAAAGGCCGTTCCAATTGAATTTTCAGCCAGTGCTAGAGTCCAGGATTCAATATGAGCCGTCATCCCATCTTTGCAGTTCGTATCTGTAATGATCTGTAATGGATCATTTTGGAGTTAAGAACAAGTCAGCGCACACTGACCCAGGAGCATAGAAGTGGGGAGCCTCTCCATAAGAACCCCTCCATAGCACTGTGAAGCTGGCATGAGAATCAGTATTTCTAGGCTGCTTGAGCTTCCCTAACCATATGCAAATCCCTTGGTCAAAACACCCTGAAATTGTGATTGGAAGGACATCCACATTGGACACATTCAAGGAAAATTGGCATTAATGTGAACATGTCATTTACTCTGGTGATTTGTTTGAAAATATAGTTGGGATTAAATAGTGCCAGGCCAATGACATTTTATGATTGATTTCCTTTATTTGGACTATAACAAAAATAATGGTAGACTACACAATAAAAGTTGAAAAAAGAAAAAAAATATCACTTGCAAACAAAGGATGTACAAAAGGTTCAAATTTAACATTTTTAAAAGTCGTGCTACACCCCCTGCATCCAAATGAAAAGACTGACAGGAATGTCCCTGTCACCCCTTATCAATGGATGTCCAATCAGTTTAATCTGAAATGAAAGTGAGCACTTTAGATCACTGAAGTACTTTTAGGGGAAATATAAACAGTACACACAGGTAGTGGCTTTATGACGTTTTCACATACATGTGGCATTGTACTTTGCTCACACCCGCCCACCCTCCACCAACCCACCTCTTTTTAGTTCTGTTTCTCCCACGTGAGTCCTTGTGTCTTCCTGTCCTATGCATGCACAAACACCCATACTTAACAGATTCCTCCTCTAGTAGAAAATGTGACAGTTGAGTCCGGTTTCATTCATGTTTTCCTGAATGGCATAACGTCATTCTTCCTGGCTGAGTGAGACTTCTCTGTACATAACCTTCCACATTTTCTTTATCCTCTTGGTTCCAAGCCTTGGCTGTTGGGAAGAATGCAGCAGTAAGTGAGCAGGGTTGCCTGTTGTGTGCTGACCTAGATTCCCTAGGGCATATGCTCAAGAGGGGCAGCTGGATCTCATGGTAGTTTAAATATCGCAGGAGCCTCCTCGCTGAGTTCCGCCTTAGCTGCACCAGTTTGTCGGGGCTCTTTCCCCAACAGCATTGCCACCTGCATTTTCATCTTTTCTTTTCTTGGGGATCTCCATCCTGACAGGAAGTGGAATCTCAGTGTAGTTTTAGTTTGCATTAGTTAATGGATGAGGAGAATGATGAGCGGGATTTAAAATGTTTACTGCCCGTTTGCATTTCTTCTGTTGGGAACTGTCTGAATCATCAGTTTGTTTATTGGTTGGATGGATTTATTTTTAGTTCTTCATAGACTAATCTTGATCTCCTGCCAGGGGGTGCAGATTTTATCTTCCCTCTGCTGGGCAGAAGCTTTTTTGGCGTTTTATGTCAGGTGATCCAGTCAGCCAGTTTTGGGGGCGGGGTTTCCTATGATGGTAGGATTCTTTTCAGAAAGCCCTGGCCTTTAGAGTGGAGTGTTTTCCTTCAGCGGTTTCAAAGTTTTAGGTCTTACATTATGGTCTTTGATCTACTTTGAATAGATTTTGGGGCAAGGTGAACAGTATGGGTTTAGTTTCAATCTTCTAAACACCGATACCTAGTTTCCCTGGTTTAATGAAGAGGCTGCCTTTTCTCAAATACACGTTTATTGTTTTGATTTGTTTGTTTGTTTCTGTTGTTTTGTTTTGTTTTTGAAGACAGGGTTTCTCCCTGAAATAGCCCTGGCTGTCCTGGAACATCATTTTGTAGACCAGGTTGGCCTCGAACTCACCCAAGCTCCCCCTGCTGCTGCCTCAAAGGTGCTGGGATTAAAGGTGTGCACTGTCATACCTGGCTTCAAATACTTGAACATCTTTGTGAAAAGCTTTATCAAAAGGCAGCAGCTGTGTGGACTTCCTACCCAGTCCTCTGGCCTATTCCACTGTCTTTCAATACCATGTTCTGTTAACATGGCTCTAATATAATTTGAGGTTGGGTCTCATAAGGCCCTTAGCTCTGGCCTTTCTTGGGATTTCTTTGGCTATTTGAGGCCTTTTTCGCTCTTTAATCAGTTTTGGGGCTGTTTTGATAGTTTTATGAAAGATGCTGTTGGGATTCTAATGATGACTGGGTTGAATGTGCAGATCACTTTTCATAACAGATTCTGCCAGGTCATTGGCATGGAAGATCTTTTCATCTTCTAGTATCGTAAACCTCTTTCTTCAAGGCTTTCAAGTTCATAGTGAAGCAGTCTTTCACGTCCTCTGTTCGGTTTATTCCTAAGTGTTTTTTTTTTTTTTTAGATTTATTTATTATGTATACAACATTCTGCCTCCATGTATGTCTGCTGGCCAGAAGAGGGTGCCAGATCTCATTACAGATGGCTGTGAGCCACCATGTGGTTGCTGGGAATTGAACTCAGGACCTCTGGAAGAGCAGTCAGTGCTCTTAACCTCTGGGCCATCTCTCCAGCCCCTATTCCTAAGTGTTTTTAAAAGTCTTTGTGAGTGGGACTTCTTTTTCCTAATTTCTCACTGGAAAGTTCATCACTGTCTTTTAGGAAAGTTGGCTTTTGTGTCCTGCTAGTTTGGGAAAGTGTTTATGATGTCTAAGAGTTTTCTGGTGGAATCATGTCTGGATAATGGGTATAATTTGATTTTTTTCATATTTGTATGCCTTGTGTGTCTCTTGTCCTACTAACTGCAACATTAAACATTACATTGCATACACTGCATACGATGGAAAGAGTGAACACAGACTAGAGGGAATCTTGGCCTGTCTTTCCAGTCAGGATACTGTAGTCATACAGAGACTTGTCATATAGAGCCTTTATTCTACTGAGCTATGTTCTTTCTACTCCTGGCATCTGGATGTTGGACTTTGTTAAAGGCTTTAAACATCTATTAGATGATCATGTGATTTCTCTCCTAAAGTGTGCTTTGCTACCTTCAACATGATGTTGAGTCATCATAGTTTCCCTGGAATGACATGCACACCCACCATGGGTATGGTGCATGATCCTCTTAATGTGTTCCTCAGTTCATTTAGAAATATTTTAATGGCGAATTTTTGTGTCTGTGTTCATCAGGGAACTATTTCTCTCTCTCTCTCTCTCTCTCTCTCTCTCTCTCTCTCTCTCTCTCTCTCTCTCTGTGTGTGTGTGTGTGTGTGTGTGTGTGTGTGTGTGTTATCCAGTTTTGCTGTCAGGTTGGTGTTGGCTTCATAGAATAAGTGTGCTTGTGTTTCTTCCACTTTATGAACTGTTTGGAGGACCACTGCTGTGAACTCTTTCATGTTTTGATACAGCCCACCAG